TTCGCTAGATCACTGAATTCATCAGGTACATTTCCTACTTCCCACATTACCATCTGCAGGAGCGTTGCCAAACTGTTACCACTATGTAACATCTCCTGTTTCTAAGTGCATGTTTCTCACTTTCCTTCAAACTCTTAACAGTTTCCTCCAAACCCATTGGGCTTCTGAACATGCCCTGGTTTAAAAACCAGTGCCCGTGTTTTAGGTTTTGTTAAGCAGCATCCCACTTCCAGGTACCAAATTTTGTTCTCCTTATCTATTTTTATACCTCCAAACCCACTGGCTTAATACAATAATTGGCAGTCAGCAATTTGGGGAAGGCTCAGCTGGGGCCCATCTAGTCACATGTTGACAGAGCTTCAATTATCTGAAAACCCTACGAAGTGGATAGTAAATACTATTCCTGGGAGCTCAGCTGAGCCTGATGATCAGGGCCCCTACACATGGCTTCTCCACATGGCTTGGGCCTCTCACAGCACGGTCAGAGTTCTCAGTTTGCTTATATTATTTTACTTTGTATTAATGTCCTATCATCTCAACTAATAGGAATAATTATTCCTAAGACTGAAAAGCAAAACCAAAAACAAACTTTGGACCCTAATTCCAAGTGCTTCGTATGTAAATACAACAATGAACTAACACACTCAACTGGAAATACATTTGAAAAGAAAAAGAAATATGGCAAATGCCATATGATTTCACTCATATGTAGAATTTAAGAAGCAAAACAAACAGGAAAAATGAAGAGACAAACCAAAAAACAGACTCTTACCTATTGAGGAAAATGAGGGTGGGGGGATGGGTGAAATAGGTGAAGGGAATTAAGAAGAGTACACTTATCTTACAAGCACTGAGTAATGTATGGAATTGTTGAATCACTATATGGTATACCTGAAACTCATATAACACTGTATGTTAACTATACTGTATGTTAACTATACTGTATGTTAACTATACTGTATGTTAACTATACTGTATGTTAACTATACTGTATGTTAACTATACTGGAATTAAAATTCTTTTAAAAAGAGGAAATAAAAATAAAATTTATTCAATGTTAAAATTGTGCTATTATTGTATAATGTTGGCACAAGGATAACAAAGGACAATTTGCATAATAAACATTCCTATTCATTTTTCTAGTTAGTACAATAATTGGATAGCAACCATCAGTGAAGTGGGACAAAAGAGAGCTATTATCATAAACATTAGTTTGATCTCTCAAGGAGATGTGATTACCTTCTACCCAGACTCCACTTTACTCACTTGAACAGAGGTTCTGCTTTTCATTAGCCCAATGTCAAGTGCCTTTGTTGCATCCAAGTTTTACCCTAGCCGGCCATATTCCACATAAAGGACATAGAACAGGTTTTTTTTCCTCAGCAGAAATTGCAAGAAACATGGCTCTTTCATGGTAAAACTTCTTATAAAAAGAAATGGACAAAAGATACACCTTAGAAGGTCCTGATCTAACAAAATGGCAAAAGATGTCAAACTACATGAACCTTAAAAATAAAACTGCCAGTTTCACCAGTAAAAATGGGCTTAACTCGGGAATAACAGAGCAAGCTACAACAAAACTGAGCAAAGGAGAGAACACGGCTTTATAAAGGGGAAAAGGGAAGCTGAGAGGGCTATTATAAACAAAAAGTCAATTGGAGTAACCTGGAATTTCAACTATAGTGGTTTCTCATTGGCTGAGTTATGACTGTCTCTTATTGGTAATTGGCTGGGCTGTTGTTGGGGAAGAGAACTTTTCTTCCTCCTGGGAGAGTAAAGTAGCAGCAAAATCAGTACTGACCTTGTTGAGTCACTATATTGTACATCTGAAACTAATATAACACTGTATGTTAACTATACTGGAATTAAAATTTGAAAATAAAATAAAAACACTTCTATATTTTTCAACAAGTAAGTAAAGTAGTACTGACTTGGGGGTACCTCTCTTCCTGTTGGATTTGCAATCAATGAGGAGTGGTAGGCAGGAGAGCTACTTTAAACAAGGTTTCCTTTTATTGATTTTCACACTACTTATAACACATCAGTGAAACTGAGTCAGCCTCATATTTCATCAGGTGAAGGTATATATTCTTTCATGTCAAAAAAATTTTCACACTCCTAGTAAACTCTGCTAATCGTTTTTCTTCATTCTTCTTTTAATTCAACATAGGGCACAACTGAAGAGTTAAGTTTATCTTAGACTAGTTAGACTATTTGTAGTTCAGGAATGAGGGAATTGTGTGTGTGTGTGTATATATGTATATACATATATACGCACACACATATATATAGTAAATATGTATATATGTATACACATGTGTGTGTATATATATATATTAAGTAAATCTTATGAGTCATTCATTTTAATCAGTGGCATCAGGATTAATTTGGAAGAATCACTAAATCCAATATTGAACACAGTTTTTCACTGAACAACATTTATCCTTCAATTTCTTTATGTGAATTAAGGTATTTATAAACTGAATCTGGAGATCTTAAACCAAGGGGCCAAGTTCTTATCTTGCTCCAGAGGTAATGAAGGGGTGCACTCCCATCCCTTTTCTCTACTGTGTCAACAGGAGAGTGTCAGTGGTTTTCCCAGCTCTGTAAAAGGCTGGAACACATTTCTCTGTGGATTACAACACACTGACCCTGAGAAATGGAGGAGACTATTTGTTATGCCATAGGATCTCCTGATGGAAAGATTCCAGGCACAGTATGAGATCTTTATGAAGTTCCTGTATGCAAACTTTAATAACCAAAATTATGGGCTGCCATAGAAACAATATAGGAAATTACATTTAAAAGCAATTTATCAAAATTCAGAACAACTAGATTACACAATGATAGCAAATGAAATACTGCTTAGTAATTTTTATGTACCATTACTGGTGTACCTGGATATCATTTCATTTACTCCACACAGCAGCCCTGCAAAGTAGATAGTCTTTCTATACTTCACACGAGAAAAATGAGGTTAAGATACTAGTCCAAGTCCACCAAATAATATGAGGAAACCCTAGATCAACTTGACTCCAAGTCTTCTTTCTCTTATGCAACCAATTTCAATTCTCCGACAAAAAGTAAAAACAACCAACAAACAAAATTAGAGACAAGAAAGATGTGTCCCAAAGTTAGAGAAGCTAAAATTCTTTTAATTACATAAGAAAATTTATGTTATTATAATATTCAACATATAGACTGTGTATTGTGCTACAACTGCCTTAATGTTGAGAAGTTAAAATGCTTGGAAGAAATACCAAAGGAGGAGCGCCCGGGTGGCTCAGTCGTTAAGCATCTGCCTTTGGCTCAGATCCTGATCCCAGGATCGTGGGATCGAGTCCCACATTGGGCTCCCTGCTCAGTGGGAAGTCTGCTTCTCCCTCTCCCACTCCCCCTGCTTGTGTTCCCTCTCTCACTGTGTCTCTCTCTGTCAAATAAATCAATAAAATCTTTAAAAAAAAAATACCAAAGGAATCTTCAGAAGGTCTTAGAGAACATTATTTAGTGTTGTGGCTTATTCTCCTTTATTCTTCCCTCCCTATTTTTATTTCTTCCTGCCTTACTTTTTTGAATTCTCCAATTCTGCATAGTTTTTGCATGGTATTGCTGAGATGATCTTTTGAAAATTACTTTCAATTGTTATTCTCAAAGTATTTCTCTTATTGGGAGATAAAACTGAAGAACAGGAAAGAGCATTTTCCACTCTTCCTCAGTATGTACAGCCTTCTTTCTGCTTATGCATTCTGTCCACACTAACTCCAGCCCATTCATTATTGGTACTAGAATTACTGAAGTTTTCTAGCCCCTGCTCTCATAATAATACATTAAAATTTCTTAAGCCAGCATCTAGGGAACAGGACTTCAGTCTCAGAGAGAAAAAGTGATACATTCAAATGCAATTATGAAACCTTTTTTACAGAAAATATTCACTATCCTTTGGTAGGTTTTAAAAAATGTAAATAATTTGTATATTTTTTCTCTTTATTTTCACCTTCAAAGAAAAATCTTTAACCTAACAGTAAATAACAGAATATCTCTTCCTTGTAGGTAAAGACAATAAGACTTCTTAAACGTCAATGAATTATGTGGTGAAATTCTTAATAATTGTTCCCTTTTTTTAATTTGCTTATAAAAAGAAAAGTTTAGGGCGCCTGGGTGGCTCAGTTGGTTAAGCGACTGCCTTCAGCTCAGGTCATGATCCTGGAGTCCCGGGATCGAGTCCCGCATCGGGCTCCCTGCTC